AGGAGGCTCTCTACCCTGGACTTCAGGAGAGCAGATTTTGGCCTCATTAGGGATCTGCTTGGTAGAGCACCATGGGATAAAGCCCTGGAGGAAAGAGGAGCCCAAGAAACCTGGTTAATATTCTGGAGTAATCTCATCTAAGCTCAGAAATGATGCATCCCAACAAGAAGAAGTCATGCAAAAACACCAGAAGGCCTGAGTGGATGAACAAGGAGCTCCTGGACAAACTCAAACACAAAAAGGAAGCCTACATTTAGCCATGGGAGGAAATTATCCAACTGTCCAAGGATCAGGTTAGGAAATCTAAAGCCCTGATAGAATTAAACCTGGCCAGGGATATCAAGGGCAACATGAAAAGCTTCTATAGGTGGTACATCAGTGATAAAAGAAATATTAGGAAAAATGTGGACCTTCTTCAGAAGGAAATGGGAGACCTGGTTATCCAGGATATGGAGTAGGATAGGCAAGTGCTCCAGCCACACTGCCCAAGTCACAGAAGACAACACATGTACACATCCAAATGGGAGACCGGGTTATCCAGGATATGGAGTAGGATAGGCAAGTGCTCCAGCCACACTGCCCAAGTCACAGAAGACAACACATGTACACATCCCACACACACATCCCACACACAGCCCCTCATGGATTCACACTCTGCCTTGGCACTAGTGCTCATCTAATGCTGCAGTGTACAGTTTTCATTGTGGAGTATGGTAAGTGTCAGAAGAGGTAGGAGAAGAGAAGGAATGCAGAAATAACACAGACTGACTTAAACTTTGGGGAAATGACAACACTGGTAGATTGTGATTCTGAGAACTATTTGGACATAGATCCCTAAATAGTACTTTCTGTCTAGTTCTCAGTCAGTCACTACTGGGAAGTCTGAGAATTCAAGAAGAGCTCATTTTCTTAAATAACTCCTCTACAGAAGGAGATGACCTCGAGTTGCAGATATCTTTAATAAGTTAAGTATTTATATATAAATGGCATTGCTTTCTTAAGTAGAACATTGACATGGGATCAGATGGATTCTCTGTGTAAATTATCTTTGAAGTACATGATCTTGAATGTTTACAAAAATTTTTAAGTTGAAATTTTTGTGATATTTCTTATCTGACAGAATTGCTTTCTTTATAAAATGCTATGTTAGAAATAATTGTGCTTTTTATGCCAAATGGAAGGTGATGGTCAGTTTTGGTTTTTAAACAGTCTCAGATGTGTTTCACTTGCCCCAAGTGTGCCTGAAAACACTATGCTAGCTCCTATATGGGACTGACTGGAATTATTTTGGGTATCTGAGCATAAGAAAAACCTGCTAATTTCAGTAAGGGGCAAGCAGTATCTGGTGTGGTGAGCTTTTCACTGGTTATTAGGCATAGTACAAGTTAAATTTGCCCATGGTGCATTAGTTCTTATCTTGAAGGCTCTCTCAGACTGCTCTAAAGGGTTGTTACTCTTCAGAAATGCTCAAAATACTTTACAATGGAGATATCCAAGACCTGATCCAAATTGGCTGTGGCAGATGACCTTCAGGCAAGTGAGCAGCGTTACCCACAAGACAGCATATTGCTCTTGGAGGGCTGTGTTATTGTTGTAGACTACAACATGTTCCAGAAATGCATTAAGCTAACATTGGCCTGGTTGCAGGTGCAGTTTCACTCGCTTAAGTGGCTTTGAATCAACAGACAACAAATATCAGCCTTCCAGGGTTTGCCTGCAGAGCCCCCAGACAGAGATACAAACAAATTGCAAGCAGTGTTTGTGTGAGACAGCTCAGAAAGGCACTTCCAGCAGGGCAAGCTGCCACCACGGGCACTTGAACCTGCCTCCTCAAAGGGAGATCTGCCAGCAGCAGAGCTCGGGAGGTTCAAGGCTGATGGAGGAATTCAGCAAGTACAACCTGGGCAGGTCCAAATCACCCACCTGGCATGAAAATGTTGCTACAATGACAGCAGACCAGGCAGCGTAAGAAAAGGCTGTGGGGTTATAAATGGGAACGGGTGAGAGAAGGGCCTCAGTGAAAGTTTTCAGGTCTCATGTGGAGAAACCAATCAATCAAGATGGTTTTCCACTCCATATCCTCTTCTGAAGAGGGGTAGCTGACCAAAGTGTGGTTAGTGAATTTTAGGTTGGACAAAGGGTTTCTGGGTTAGGACTGGACTTTTCTTTGGAATGTGGAAGCCCTGGTTGCCTGGATGGAGGCTGGGGTGATAAAATCCAGCCTGCAGGTCTGACAGCTCTGCCTGGTGGTGCCCTTCAGCAGGCAAGCAGAGCTGACTGCCTTTCCTTACATGAGGCAGCTCAAAATCATGGGGCTGGTGACTTGCTTCATGCTGATCTTTGAGGACCCAAAGCAGTAATAGTAATTTTGGGAGCTCTTTCCCATGGTTGGGCATAGTACTTTAATTTCATGAAATTAAACACATTCTCACATGTCTAAACCCTGGGTGGAGTTCTCAGGGAAACATGAATGCTAGTCATGCTGAGCCACAGTGGCATTACAGGTCTGCAAACATCCTGTTGAAAAACAATGTTTTCCTTCTTCCCAAAAGAAATTAATCAGCATAGACTGAATTTAACCTAATGTATCTGTAGGCTACTGACTTCTCAGTTTCCTTTAACTGTCAACTTTCTTAAAGAAAGATACAGAATAAATTCTCCAAATTCGATTTTTAGGCAGTTTTATACATTTTCTCATTAAATGTAGAATGAAAAAGCTGTTTGCCAACTGCATCATTATAGATGCCCAGATGTGTAACCTGATGATGTGAAAAGCTGTTTGCCAACTGCATCATTATGGATGCCCAGATGTGTAAACCTGATGATGTAAAGGTTGGTCACCAGCATCTTTCAGTCAGCATATTTTGATGCTTTTAATGAAAATGGTCAACCTTTCTGGGCATACCAAATCCAGGACAAGAGAGCTATGCATCTTGCTCCTGTAGAGGGTTTAGAGAAAAAGCCAAATGCAATATTATCCTCACACTGTATCTTTTGTATGTTCTTGGGATACCATTTGGCCAACTCAGGACAAGTTTGGAAGGTGCATTTGAGTGGGTCATACTGAGTTGTTCTATGGCTGGCCACTTGCACCCATGGAACAATGTTGGAGTAGCTAGAAGTGCCAGGGCCGTGTCTCATCATGTCAGCCAAAGGTCTTCTGCTGGAAAAGAAAGAAAGCAAATGTTGTAGAGTTGTCCTCTCCATGCAGCACCACTGCAGTCCTGTACCATTGAGGGGAGAGTCACCTGGGCATGATCCTGGGCCACCAGGAATGCTGATAAATTTGTGCCAAAAGGGACAGGTTCAAGGAACTTCTGTTTCCGGCCTGGCAGGAAGGATGTCAGGGTCAGCACAAACAGTTGACTTCAAGTGCCTGCTCTGCTCCATTGCTGTAATAAACATGGCAAGTAAAACGAAGCAGGCAGAAAGCTGCTGCCAACCTGTGCATGGCTGTTAACCCCTGAAATGCTTCCTGACCGAGGGAGCAACGGCTCAGTGAGTCTGTGGGGATGTACATCTTAGGAACAAAGCCTGGAAATTACTGGGTTTGCAGCCCATTCTGAAGACTCAGGGAGCAATTTTATGTTACTAAAAGCATTGGGATGGAGGAGATCTTGATCCACTTCTCCCAGCTGAACTGGGCCTGATGGGAGGGTACTGGGTAAGGACTGCTCTAAGTTGTTTGCAAGGAAGGTACAAACAGAAAGAAAGAGGACTTGAAAGGGTTGTTTTCTGATGTTTTGGCATCTTTCTCCTTGCCCCATTAGAGATCTAACCAGCCTGCTTTGTGTGAAGCATACATGGAGAGGAATAGTCTAGAAAGAAAGAAAAGTGGCTTGCAATGCAGAGCGAAGGAGTGCTGCTTGGGAAAGGACTAAGCAGCTCTTAAAGGTGGGTGAAAGAGGAGATTCTTTACAGAAATGGGCCACTGTGGAGGAGACTCCTTTGGTCACATCTGTCCTTGATATTCCCTGATGCACCACGGGTCACACCTGGTCCCTTGGCCCAAGCTGGGAGCCTGTGTCCTGGGGGCAGGGTATTGCTGCTGGGGGAGGGTGGGACAGGGGATGCTCAACAGCAGCACCCTCGGGCCCCTGCCAGTGCCCTGGGGTGTGCCCCTGTGCCAGGCTGAGTGCAAGGACAAGATACTGCCTTTGCATCTGCCTGCAGTGAGAGCCAGACAGGCCACAGCCCCCTGCAGGCTGGGGATCCCCCACAGGGCACAGGGTGCAGGTGGGCACAGGTAGGTGGGAGCCCTGAGCCCAGCAGTGCCTGTGCCAGGCACGGGAGGGAGGGAGGGCACAGCTGGGAGTGCAGCTGCCAGGGCAGGAGACTTGGAGGGCAGCTGAGGCCACAGCTGCAAGCACCCTGAGGTGTGTGCTGACACACACTTTTTCAAAGTCACTTTGGTTCGATTAAGATTTGTTTTTGTAAGCAGAAACAGGTTCTGGAAAAAGACTTGCAATAGAAAATGTGTTCGAAATTGTGTCCTGTCTGTGACAAACCAGATAACTATCTGTAGCATACTGCTTTTTCCATTTCTCCCTGCTCAGCACAAGCAATCTCACTCTTTTCAGTCCATCGATGCATCCTTGTTCCCAGTACCTGCCTACATGACCCATGTATTCTAGGCTTGGGGTTTGATTTGGGTTTCTTTCCAATAGCCCCACATAACCAGAAGTAACCTCTGGTGATTTCACCTTTACGTGGGGGTAGAAATTGAACACATACAGGATGCTTGGCTCAGGAGTCAGTTCCTTTGTATACCTTTTATAATTTCCTTTAACCCTTATCATTTTATTCCTCCCCCTCTGCTCCTCCTCTTCCTGCCCCTGTTTGCCTCCCCTCCCTGTGCTTCCCTGGCGGCATTGCTGGCTCTGCACAGGCCCAGTTTCTCTAATCAGATGAAGCTGCAGGATTATCTCTCTCCCTCCCTCCTAGGCTCCATTTTATTTCCTCTCCAGCCAAAGGGGGAGCCAGGAAGGGGCGTCACGTCCAGGCAGAGGGATCCCCATCTCCCAGGCTCCTGCCTTGGATGCTCTCTCAGGATCCCACCTCCTTCCCCTTATCATATGCTCACCTTAGTGTCAACAGCATCAGGCAAATCCAAGAAAGGAGATCTGAACTCTTTCGGCTTCTGTTCTCCTCAGATTTCTGAGCATCTATTTTTAAATACCCTCCAAGTAACTTGGACAGGGAAGCTGGATGTGCAATCTCTGAGTAGAGGGAAGGTAAGGACCACGGAAGTCATGCATTGCCCCTTCTCTCATCTCATGTAAGGACACCGAGTCCTCTCCATTTTGCCAGCAGGTCTTTGAGAGTAACAAAGCAGATGAGGGGAAGGGAGAGGAGCTGCACAGAGACAGACCCAGGCTTCTGTAAGTGCTGTGTTGGCAGCAGGGGGTTGATAGCTGGACTGAAAAACCCAGGAAATGGTAGTTTTATCTTTGTCTAAAATAATGGGAACTATGAGCTTTAATTGAATTTAATGTAGTTCTGCAGCAGGTGGTGTTTGGGTTTTTTTGTGCTCATGTCTTTCACTTACATGTGTATGTGTTTGTCTTTTACAAAATGTTTCTAGAATATAATTGTCACTGTTTCTTTGGGGGAGAAAACCCCCCATAATCTTGTTCATCTTATTCCTCTGCACATCTGTAAGTTTATGAAGGTGATTTTTGATTATTTTTTGTGTGTATGTTAGGGTTTTGATACTAAAAATAAGATAAAAGAGTAAAGTGTATTGCTTGAAATTGTACCTTTTAGGACTAATCAGACAGAGAATGGTTTACCTTGGTTTTTTCCACCACATGTGCCATGTCTTTTTTTAAATTTCTAAGAAGTTAAAAGCCAACACTACAGAAAAACTGAGGAACATATCAGTGTTTTCTGCTTATCAGCTTTGTTTTACACTCCTCTTTCCTAGACAAATGATCAATTGCTATTTAGAATGGCCTATAAAATTTTTCTCTTAAACTGAAACATGTCTTTTCCAAAGTCAAAGATTTGATTTAGTTTGGCTTGTTATTGTCACTAGGGTAAATGTTTTAAATCAGGATCCTTAGTAGAAGAGTGTTTTGTGCATGTGTTGTGGTTTACAAGCTCCTATGATTAAAAGCAAAAATCTGTGCTGATGCACTACTGGATTTCAGGGGAAGAGGTTTAAAGGAGAGGGGGAGCAAGCAGTTATTTCTGTTTAGAGAACTGTAAGCATGAAAGGTGACTGAAAAGACAGCCATGAGATAAATATATTTTGTAAGGCATTGATCTTGTGCATAAATAAGATGGACCATATAAAGATCAAAGTCTAACTCTTTTCCATTGACTCATGCTTCAAAGTAATCATCTTGTAGAAAAATATCAGTGATTTCCTTGCACCAAGACATTGATTGAAGCTTGCAGATGGTTCTTTGCATGTTTAAGGCTAAACATATATCTGAATGTTTGCAGGACATAGATTGCAGGAAGATCCAAGTTCAAAGAGTTCCATGGAGTCTTTGTGTAAAAGAATTATGTTTAGGGAAGGTTTCATGTATGAGGGTGAATTAGATGGGGGCTTTATGTTTTCATGTTGTGCTCAATTTCTCTGTAAAACACTTCTTCAATTATAGCATTTTGTTGACTTTCACCATTCAGACATTTTACCTTAACTGTGCTCTAGAGAAAGATGCAATTGCAATTTAATTTACCTGGCAATTATCTAGAACTCCATAAACAAAAGCAGTAAACTGCAGAAGGCCACGTGGTGTCAGAGCTGGTTCATAATACCAAATGTAATAAATTCCCATTAGATAACCATGACAAATCCACCTTTTTCCTTCTATACTTAACTATACATACTCAAACTGCACTTGAAAAATCAGTGTACGAGGGAGAGTAGAATAGAGGAAAATTGTTATTGATGATCATTACACTTCTGAAGTTTAATTTTCTTTCCATTAAGGGCAATGACAAAGGATAAATTGGAGGTAGGTTTAAAACACTCCAGATGAGCAGAGGTATTTGCTGTACCAGTGAGATGTTACAGCTGAGTGCAAATGGGTTAGTTCTGAGCAGAACATCAACAAAATCCTGTTCCTTCTTCAGGAACTCATCTGGAGATTTAAGAGGCTGAATTGTCCATTCCTTTCCCCAGGAGTTAGTGTTTCTGAATGAAAATGGAGTGTGCTTCACTGGTCCCTTGTATTTGGGTAGTGCAAGCTGTTCTAAAATTTACAGGGGAATTCAGCCTACAGCAATGCTTGCAAAAGCTAAGGAGTAGACAGAGAGCTGTTAATAGTATTTGTTCTGTAAGTATTTTTTTCCAGTTAATCAGAAAAAAGGTCTAATTTTTTTTATTGTATGCCATTGTTTTATTGTTGCAAGTGAACGTCAAGTCATTGGCCAATTCTCCTACTTCCTAAAAGAAACAAAAGTTTGTATCTTTGGCAGGTGTGTGTGATACATCTGGCCATTCTGACCATTTTGGCCCCAAAGCAACAGTACAGCAAGAATCCTAGGCTGCAAAAGCTGTTACACTTTACTCATCAGCCTTGAAGTCTTTTTTTTATGTTTGTTTGTTTATTTGTTGGGGGCTTTTTTTGTGGTTTTGTGGGTTTTTAGTTTGTCTTTTTGGTTTGTATTGTTATTTCCCATGGCGATGAGCAATACCATAGGGATTGTGGGCACTGCCTTCTGGTTAATTCTTGTAGTTTCATTGTACATTAATAAGAGGTTTTTAAGTGGTGTAAATTGTAAAACTGTATGCATATACAGTATCACATGTGCAAATGCATCTCTTTGGGCTATTAAAATCCTGGAAGATCTGAATTATCCAAAATCCAAATAGTCTTTCATTTTTTCTTGCAGGGAGGGTGGAGGGTGTCTTTCAGTGGTGAGAGATCCTTTCTGCAAAAGCAAAATGAGGGAAAGAATGAAAATAAATGTTGGAGTACAGTGGTCAGGAATATCTGCAGGAGGGATACAAGGAGAAGGCAGTGAACTGAAAGATACTGTGTGAGCAAAGATAATTTGATATTTCTTATGGATGCCTTCTGACTACAGAATTAATCTATAGCTATGCAGCTGATAGATCATATGTATGTTAAGAGTGTCCTTTAGGAGTATCCTCAGCTTCCTTAGTGGATTGTGGGAAAGAAGGTGGTCTCTCTCATTTAGAAAAGCTGTTGAAGTTCTTCAGAACAAAGTTCCACTCAGAGAAATTATCTTTAGCAACAGGAACCACACAGTAAAAATCACTCTGAGGCTGCTTAGGTATATATACTCGGAGCATGGGAATTGGATCAGGCTACATAAATAAAGTTGACATCAGCCAGGTCTTTGCTAGCTTGGTGTTGAGTGTGAGTGTTAAGCATGTGAGTTATAGTCAAGCATCATTCTGCACCAAAAAAACATCATAAGAAAGATCAACTTTAAACTAGCCTGTCCCTGATTGCATCTTTAAAGCTGTATGTCTTCCAAAATTATGGCTTAACTCTTGCACAGTGTGGATTTAATACAAAACAAAGAAAGGAGCAGGAGTATTTCTCCATCTGCAGAATATTTGCTAATTAAGCTTTAGCAAGGGCTCACCCATGTGTGCAAATGAAGGTTAATGGGATTGAGCAGTTGTGAGACCTTCATTTGACTTGCAGAGCTTTATTCTAGTCAACAGTGCATAAGACTGGCAGAACTCAGTTCATCCGAGCTGAATTGAAAGATCTGACTTCCTTTACAGCTCAAACTAAGCAAACCTGACATGGAAATTGGAGAGATGATGAATGCATAAAGCCACCCTAACTCTTACAAATGGTATTTACTTTTTTTAAGACTTTTAAAATTATTACTTTCTGCAAAGAATCTGCTGTGAAAGTTTGCTATTTATGAATGAATAGGGTGGAGAAGTACTTCTTGAAATGCCAAGGCAAAACATACATTTTTTTTTAGCAGTTTTATTCTCTTCTCAATGGCCTCCAAACTGTAGAAGGGGTGGTGTGCTTTTGTTGATTTAGCAATGAGTGGTGCTAATCAATTGGAATGAACTTTTGGAGTTGCTGCCTCCTTCATATATATGACCTTGCTTGTAAAACACAGGAATCACTTTTGTGCTTCCTTTCAAAAGTTATTCCTGCTTTAGCTTGTTTCAGTAAAAGGTATGGGTTCCACTAATCAATTAAAAAATGGTTTAGTCTTGCAAAATGGCTGCACATTTCAGCTTCTTTTGAGGCTCAGGACGAGAAGGTACATGAAAACTTCTTCTTGGCAATGACAGATAAAAGAACAAAATTATGGAAAGAATAAAAATAAAATCATCAAATCATTAATTTTTGAAGGGTCTATTGGAATGCCCCTCTTCTAACCTCCTGCTCAAAGCAGAGACAGCTATGAGGTCAGATAAGATTTCTTTGGGTTTTGTCCACTTGGGTCTTGAATACGATTAAACCAATGTTTGAAAAACAAAGAATTCCTGTAATAGAGACTCAGTTCTTCATAAGTAGAATCTTGTTGTTAGCAGTTAACAGCAAATGCTTAAAGAGTGATCCTCTAGCTGCCCATGCCACACAGGCAGGATCCTTCTCTACCCTGGTGATGGCAGGAACTGGATTGTCTTGCAGCTCTTGAGTTGTTCCAGTTATACCTCAATATGTTGTGTTTCTGTCATTATAGAATGTTAATAAGGAAGTAGAGACTTCTGCAGCTCATTTAGTGATTGAGATTAACCAAGAGGAGGGGAAATTTGCTTGTTTACATAGAGCAAGGTGTAAACATTAGCTCTCCAGGAAGTTCTTCACATACTTGGATTTGAAAAATTATTTGCAAGCTTTAGTCTGCTGCTGTGCTGTGTCTTGTTTTTTCTTTCCTTAACCTTTCTGGTGTCAAACAAGCTCTGGATAGCACCTTGTGAGCATGGGCTCTTCTCTAGCCAATCTCTGATGTTTTTTCCTCTCTCAGTCCCCAGAGAGCAGAGAGAGGCTCTTTTTCGCCCCTTTCAGATGTTTTCTGTAGACTACAGATAACAGTTTCCCATATAGATCTGATTAGATCACAGAGTAATTCAGACAGTTGCTTTTTGGAGAGGCAGACATTGCACTTTGACATAATGGCTTTTTTATGATGAAACACAAAGTTTGACATGAAAATTTACTCTTCCTATTTCCACCCATATTCTTTGTTGATATAGTTTCAAAGGTAGCTCATACCACAATGGGAACTCCTAGCAATGCTATGACCCCAGTTAGATAGTCCTAATTTTAGT